ATCAATGTTGAGAACCATTGTTGAAGAGTTGAAAACATTACACTGTGTCTAGCCACAATAAATTTTAAAGAAAAATGTATTTATTTAAAAGAAGAACATGGGGCTGGGGATTTAGCTCAGCGGCAAAAGCGCCTGCCTGGCAAGCGCAAGGTCATGAGTTCGGTTCCCGGTACCAGAGAAAAACCAAAAAAAAAAATAAAAGCTAATTATTCTTGTAATAAACCTGTAAATTAGTTTTAACGTTCTAAAAGATTTCTCTGTAGTAACTGCATGAGTTGTAATTTCAATAATAAATGGTAACAAAACTTGAACAGTTAATTAAATTTCACTGTGAAGCACTAACATAATCTTGTGTATTACCAACACTTGTAATATTTCAGCACTACACAGACTGATCAGAGGAATAACAGAAATTTTTAAAGGACAAAAAAAAAGGAAAAAGCCGGTCGTGGTGACGCATGCTTGTAATCCTAGCACTCGGGAGGATGACGAAGGAGGATCGTTGCGAGTTCGAGAGCAGCCTGGGCTACAAAGTGAGCTCAAGGTCAGCTGCATAGCGAGACCCTGTCTCAAAAAAACAAAAAAAAAAAAAAAAAGGGAAAAAAAATGTAAGAATGATTTTAAGTGAAATGGTCAATGTGGTTAAAGTAAGTTCTTCAGAGCTGTGCGAGTAATAACATATTGCACTGGTTAACTTTTCCTTTTTTGTCTTTTCAGACAAGGTCTCACTGTGTTGCCCAGGCTGGGCGGGAGCTCACAACGATCCTCCCGTCTCAGCCTCCCGAGTGCTGGGACTACAGGAATGAGCCAGCACCCTAGGCCTAACTTTTTTAGAAGTTAATTCTCTATGCAGAAAATCAGATGTCAACTACTAGGTTTTTTAAACGGTTTTACCCAGCATTAGTAAGATTATAGGCCTCACAGGAAGTGCTACTAGGAAGCAAAACTTTACCTTTCATGGACGAGAATTTAGCAGTTTACCTGAAAGATCTTCCAAGTTTGCATTTATATATCCACCTTGTTCTGTTTCTAGGAAGTCAGCATATTTTCGCCGTGTATTAAGGAGAAAGCAGTTACCAGGAGCATAGTTCCATTCAAATATCGCTACAGAAAATACAATTGCATATGAAGGAGTAAAAACGGAATATTTCACTTCTTGGATTTTTACCTATGTTCAATAATGTGAAAATTTTGCTGTTTAATGAACACAGGTAGAATCCATTCAATGAAAGAGGAAAAACAGTTCTGCATCCGGAAGATTAAAAGTGAACACGCACACCGAGTCCAGCACGCAGGCGCGCTCGCTGCACCACCCACGCCAGCGGGGGCCGGGTTT